GGTGGGGGCGGCGGCGCCCCACGTGCGCACGAGGGCGGCGGCGAGCGCGTGCGCGGCGTCTGCGGGAGATCTGACCAGGGGGCGATGGGAGGTTGCAGGATGCTGCTGGGGCGGCGGCAGTGCGGAGGTTTGGGCGCGCGACCAGTGTGGGCTCGGGGCGCCCTGGCGTGCGGCAGGGCGGCGTTGGGGGCGCGGCGGGGCGGCGCCTGGCGTGGCGTCCGACCCACCATCCGGAACTCGTCACTCGCGAATAGCTCGTCCGCCGCGTTGCCGCCCGCGGCGACGTCCTGCGGAGCGCGGGGCGCCGGGGGCGACACATCGGCGTTGGTCAACGCAACTTGCGGCACGCCTGGCGCCCGTGACACGACATGGCCGCGCGGAGCGGCGCAGCGGACCCCGACGGTACCTCAAGCATGATGGCGCGATAGCGTCTGACTTATATCACTGCTTCGCACATCAAGCCGCAGGCGGCACCCAAGCCTGCCATCCCGCGTGCCAGCAGGATCAGAGCGCACAGCCCTTCATATAGACTGAGGGCAAGCGCCAAACAATGCTATATATCCAAGCATTCAACTGCCCGCCGTAGGGCGCGGGCCACAGGCCCGAGCCCGTTCCGGAGAGAGACTCCAACACCCAGTGCTCACCCCAGCGCCGGCCTGAGGACCGCTGCATTCCACGTTAGCATCCTCCATGCTTTACGCTCGCTCTCAAGGCGCGAGTCCCGATGTTGCGCGTGATTGATACGCTCCTGCCTATCTCGCCGATCCGTACCTACTTGAAAGTGCGGTATATGATATGCAACGCTGTATTTGCCGTGACGCAGCCGTGTCGTGGGACTGTGATGTGTCGAAGCAGGACAAACACCGCGCCGAACGGCTCAGAAAGAATATATGACGACGAAAAAGATACAATTTCCTGCCGATATAACAAACCTCTGCGACGCTGCAACGTGCGCCTATGATATGGAGAATCGCCTGCCCGCCGCGCGCGGCTGGCAAATCCGCCCACCAGGCGCAGCGCCGCACAGCAACAAGGTGGCCGCAAATACTTGCATGTTTTTGCGGAGCGTCTGATTGGCGTTGCATCCCAACACACTTTATGACAAAAGCGCAGGGCCCAGGCGCTGGCGGCTTTCTACCCGCAGCTGCGGCTGCCCTCGTCAACCAGAGTGCATGCATGTGTCATGGACGACCCTTGCCCAACCTTATGCAGTCCCGCAGGATTAAATGCTCGACTTGGCAACGGATCGAGAGCAGTTTACAGCAGCACATGTTCCATGCGCAACATCACCACCGTAGCTGCAAACTACATGCGCCGGGGGTGGCCTTCCATTCAGTCACAGGCACACGTTCTGTTCGAGGCCATCCAGCCTGCCAAGTGTTGCAAACGCGTAGACTGCACAGCTTTCATAACTGCAAAACAGCCTTGGTCAGGGGCCTGCACGCCTGTGCAGCATAAAGTGGCCTCACACAGCAGGGTTCAACGCTTTGTGAGACGATTCATGAACCGATAATTAGCCCTACCGCATCGCTCCTGCAATTGTGCGCATTTTGCGGCGCACGCCAAGCACATATAGACAAGCATTTTGCAGGGATCCTTTTTTTTGCTGCACCTGACGGTGTTATTGCTCTCTCAAACGAGGGCGTGCGTCACAAACCCAACTGAATCAAACATCAGAGCTTTGCCCGCCTTCCCAGTACGGATCACACCGCGCGCAGCATGCGGCGACCAGCGCCCAGCAGGCGGCGCTTGCCGCCGCTTCCATCGCTGCTGGAGCTGTCGTCGCCGCCGTCGCTGCTGCCATCGTCGCCCGGCGCGCTGGCGGTGGTTGCGCTGATGCCGGCCGGCGGGGCGG